GTACCCCCTGCGCTCACCCAGAGACTGCCGAGCGAGGCTTTTCGTGGTTTTTTTTTCTTGTCACAAGAAAAGACGTGGCATATAGCCGTAAAGAGCTGGGGAGCTGGCGGCGCTGGGCATGTTAGTGGTAAACGCCGAGCCTGAAAGAAGCGTTGCGCTCGCTGATAACGCGGGACCGGTTCTGGCAGGGAAGCTGCGCCGTTCCCTTCACAGCATCAGAAGTGGGACATGGTTTCGCAGTGCACGTCCTACAGGTAGGCTGGTGATGTCTTGCAGACTCAAGATACCCTACATAGGGTAGAAAAAGGTCCTTTTCTTGCTCGTGACTAAATAACAGGCTTCGGTGTGTCAGGCTTCGGTAGCATTTGAAATCTGTGCGGAGCACACTTGGAGCCCTGATGGTGTTGGTTTTATCTGCTCGTACAGGTCTGTGAGGGCCTGTTTCCAGACAGCCCTCTTACAGCTCTTGAGGAGTCTGGTAAAAGCCATAGCAAAGCCTGTGAGAAGGTGTATTTTGATGTACGGGAAGGGAATAAAAACTTACATAACTATGTATTGGCTGATGTCAAGTAAAAACAACAGAGCTGAATAAAAAAGTTTGGTTTGTGTAAGTGAGATGCAGGAGGCAGAAACTCATACCCCATCCCGCTCTCTCTAATGGCAATTTCTGGAAAAGGCTCACTGCTCAGCATCCTTAGGAAATCAAGGCCTTTAAGTGATTTTTCTTGAAAAACAGATACCTTAGTAAGCTATACCTAGGGATTTGTGCTCTCAGTCACTCTCTTCCATTCTCTTAGTGAACAAGGATTCACTGGGTATTGTTTTCCTTGCATAAATTGACACATCCCTCTGCAGTAGTTTAAAAAAAAAAATATTTTCCAGTAGTACACTGTTGTCCAAAAATATAATTTGCACCAGAGTACACTAACAAGGACTTTCATTTTCTTCTCTTCTTAATACAAATTATTGGCATTTTGCTATTCCAGGCTCTAACACAGTGAATTTTGATACCCTTTAGCCCATTGCTTATAATTTAACGTCATGCAGAGTTTCCACTGGAATTACGGAAGAGTTGGCTTTTCAGGAAGGACATGGTGGTTAGGAAATAGCTTATCTTTATTGTCCAAATTTACACCAGAACTGTTTCAGTATTACTCCCAAAGAAGTAAGTTTACCTGCATAGGTATCGTTCTTTTGCCTCATGTTGCCCACTCCATCCTTACACGGTCTCTGACAGGGTAAACAGCCCAGCTTTTGTGAACAGCCAAGTCCTGTTCTCCACCGTGAGTCCCTGCTTGTCTTGCAAGGGACACGAGCACACAACCAGCACCGCAGAAACTCTGCCCAGACCCCTGCTGCATGTGGGGATTCTTGGATGGTGAAGGCCACAGATGAAATATCAGCTCTCTGTACTTTGCATGTAGATGACAAGAGATCTTTAGCAAGGAAAATGCTGCTGTCAGGTGTGAGGATCCAAGTTACTGTTAAGTTAGTAAAATAAGGACAGTGCTTAACTGAGCAGTTTGCAGAGAAGTGTTGTGCTGCTGTTGATGAATGGCCAATAGAAAGAGTAGTATTCTATTCCTCAGCGTAAAGAAAATAGAGACAGGTGCAAAATGTGAGTTATCATTGAAATGTTGGTGTCATTAGCTTAGCTTAGTAGAATATTAGGTAAATAGAACAAGTGTTAAGCTAAAAGCTCCAGTTGAAGGCATGAAAAGAGCAGGAGTTGTGGAATGAGAGTTAATATTGTTAAGTACTGCCAGACATAAGTGTTTGATTTAAGCCAGCTGGGATAGCAAGTGACGTGTGTTAGCTGTATGAGGAGGAAGGTACCAAGACACCAATATCCTTCTGGAGTTCATTGCTTAGCCTTTCTCAGCAGGCCGGGCTCTTCGTTCAGGAGCTGGTGCTTATGAGTGCTCCTGTCTCTCATCTAGCCTCAGATTCCAGTTTTGGGAACTAGGCAAGCAACAGGCATCTCGTCTCTAAATGCTAAAGTCAGCTAATCATCGTGGGAACAGAGAGGGAAGAGAAGCATGTGGGAGGGGAAAGAAGGATGGATCTGTTATTCATGTTCATCGAGGAGTGCCATAACCAGAAACAAAGTAACGCAGTCACAGCTGGATCAAAAAAACCTGTGTTCCTTCAGGCAGTGTCATTCCATTTCCATTCCTTTGGTAGCAAAGTTATTTGCACTGTGGTGCTTGGAGGCATCATGGTTTACCACATCAGGGTCTATGCATGGTTTAGTGGAGCAGCTATGCGTTGGTGGAGGAGCTTTGGGCATCTCTTGGAGTAAAAAAGGCCTGAGCTAGGCACCAAGGTAGAGAGGTTTCAGCTCCTCATTGTTGGATCCTTTAGTCCCATCACATGGGTGACACACCAGAACTGACTGAAGTGTTTGGGCACTGGTGTTAGCAGCCATTCATCCTGCTGTCTGTGATACACCTTTCCCAAAGGGCTGGTTATTGTCCTTGACTGGCTTCTTTATGAGCTGAAGGTCTTGGTCTTGCCTGTGCACTTCTCTTGACCATGTAGTAAGTCTGCTGTAGAGTTTTTTCTTGCCTTTACACTGTTAAGGTCCAGAAGTAATTTAAAGGACTGGTGCACCAGGTTGGTTACTTTGAATGTACAAGCAAATGTCCAAGCCTGGGACCTCAAAGACCTTAAAGCACTTAATTCAGTGTTAGAAAGGTGGTCAGAGCAAGTGCATCCTAAAGTAACGGGGAACATCTCTTGGGTGACCAAGGAGTTCTGTTGGGAAGTTTGTTTGAAAACGGTATGGCTGTCTTGCTGATTCATCCATCACTGTGTTCAACAGTAATTGACCAGGTGTGAGGTTTAGGGTTGATTTCGTGTGTCCAGTTCCCTTGAAACATATTTTCTTCATTCTTCCATGATTTTTATTTAACTGCACCCTAAGAGTGTATAACAGCCACTTCTTTTCCATGGCAACGCCTGTTTCCAGAATTTGCCATCTGGTGTTTCATGTTTCTTTCTTTTCTTTTTTTTTTTTTTTTCTTTTTTCATCAGCTCTAACATTACTCATTCTGCATCCATTTTGACTTCAGCATCTGAGTGACATATTCTTTATTGCTCATCAGAAATTTCAGTAGGTCTGTTTTCTAAGCTCTTTGCAGACATATAGCTAATAAAGCTGGATGTATTCCTCTTTAGAAGGAGAGAGATGCTGCTTCATGTGAACTATTATTGGACTGCAATATTCCTGCAATTTCTGCTACTGTGGTATTTATTTATATGGTATGATTTTAATATTTTTTTTTCTGACTAAAAATTTAAAACATCTGCTCCTTAGACAGTGTAATCATATAAGCCGTATGTGCACTTAAAAGACCAGGCAGCCAGAAACTTCTTATCTACTGTTTAGCCTCCTCTGCTTATTTTTCTCTACAGAAAAAAAAGAAAATGCAAAAGGTAATGTCATAGACGTAAAAAAAATGGGCATGCAAATAACTGAAACAGTGCTCTTTTGGTCCTCCTGATGTTCCTCGTAAGTTCCTTCCTAATGCCTTCATACAACTATTTGATCTTGCCTTTACATGTGTTTTTAATTGCTGCCTTAGAAACTGCTGTCGTGAGGTTGATACAGGCCCTTAGTGTGGGAATCTTCACAGGAGCAGAAGGATGCCGATAGTAGTAAGATTACTCCCTTGAAATTAGAGGAATGAGCTCTTATACCAAGAGAGTTAGAAGACCATGAGTTGGTTTCTGGCAGAAACTGCGGTTGGGCAAGAATTCCTGAAAGCCCAGGACAGATGGTCTTTGGCTGGAGGAGGCAGCGGGGTCCTCTACTCTGTCAAGTGTTGCAGAAACCCAGATCCAACCTGGAACCTGTAGTTCCTAGCCAGTTCCTAGGCTCTGCTCTCTTTGTTTCTCGGGCAGTTGTTGTGCCTGTTATTGACAGATCAGAGAATTAGAGAGCTGAGAATTCAGCTGCCAAGAATCGTGTTGTAGATTAAAATACCATGGAATTTAATAATAAACAGAAAGTGAGCCAAAATTCTGACTTGGCAACAGAAACTCAGCAGCAGCAGAGTCGATGTCTTCTAGGAGTCAAATGGGGCTGAGTTAGGCTCCAGATTGTAGGTTTTTTTAAACAAAGATCTTAGGCATGCTTTTAGTCTGTTCTGGAAAATGAAAAAATTATCCACATTTTTTCCCCTCAATTTCTGTTCTCTTCCTAGGCGCTTAAAAATATAAAACCCCCAACATTAATGACATGAGCAGAAAAACAGAAAATACTTAGCTCAGTGCCATTCAGTCCTAGGCAAAGCAATTCATTTGACTGCTCTGGTCTTCAATACTTTTGACTGCATTCCTGTAAGGCTGTCTTACACTTACACAACAAAGCACCTAGCGTGGTGGTGTGTTGCAGCGGTGCCAGTGGACACTGAGGTCTGTGTCATTCTGCCCGTGTATTACCAGAGAACGAATTAACTGTTTTCTTGGAAGGTGCAAAGTGGATGTGGTTATTCACTGGGTTGTGAGTAGGTATTTCAAAATCACAGTCAGGAATAACGAGTATATCAATGCAAACCCATCACCTTTGTAGTAAGCATGTAAAATCTGTCTCAAGATACGAGTCGCTTTGCCTTCACGCAAAGCTGATGTGGGATACAGGTTTAAAGTTTCTAACTATGTTTTCTTTCTTTTAGATTGTGTTTTTGGAAAAAAATGATGAGCAAGAGCAACTGGCTAAGAACTGGGGGTTCAAAACGTCTGACATAAGAGAACTGAGTAACCAGTATGTGTTTTGATTAGATTCATTTAAGCAAATGCAGTTTATTCTCTGAGTGAAGTAATGTGAGACTCTGTGAGTGCGTTTTGGCAGGAGGCACATTACATCCAGTGTCGTGGGCAAAACTCCCATTCAGGTCTGTGAGAGCTCTTAACCCAAGAGCTGCCTGCATCCTGGACGGGACCCGGAGAGTGGATGGTCTTTGTGCTTTTTGCATTCCTTCGTTTGGGACTGCAGCCAAGGCTGAACTGTGGTGGCTGCTTTACACTGCACACAACAAAATGCCATATTTAGCTTTCATACATGACCTCTTCTGGGCTGGCAGAAGTAAATGGCGTTCTTGCTTGAGATTACGTTTTATATCTGTTTTGTTAGCAGTGGGCGGTGCCTAACCAGCTCGAAACTCTGTACTTAGTGAATGTAGGTAGCACTAACACTGCAGATATAAAACTCAGTTGCTTGAGCTTTGACACACTCCCTACTGTAAAAAATTAATAAAATTACAAGATTTAAACCTTCTAAACACAGAGCCTTGGATTTCTAACTGTATTGCAGCTAAAGCTCTGCTGGAAAGAAATAGTTTCAAATTGCACCTACTCCGCTTTGCATGTAGTAGCACGACTGTAAACAACTTGTGGCTTACAATCTAGAGCTGCAGCGTGGTTTTATTGTTGAGTTGCTAAATAACCTGTGTGCTTTGTTGGAAGGCTAATCATACAGAATACGTAAGTCATCAGATGATATTTTCTTCACTCGAAATAGTCTGAGGAAAATAGAAGGTGCTGGGAACAGGGATCAGACTTGGAAAGATCTTCCAGCATTTCTAGCATGCAGGAAAATTGGAGGAAGGGAAACTACAAAGGGGTGAAATCACTCTTCATTCAGCAGTCAGGGAGAAGGGAAGAGCACCGAGAGAAATTTTGTTCTCTATGGAATTTTAGCACAAAAAAAAATAATTATAGCAACTGCCTGGTAATGTTGATTTATTCATCCCTGTTATTGCATGAACACTGCATGACAACAAACAATATTACAATACCATTGCAAATATGCCTTTCCTGTCAAGACGTTGAGCAGAGATTTGTTTCACCAGTGGCTGTGTCTATGTTTCTAGACACAGTGGCCGTTCTTCCATTAAACCTTGAAATTCATTGATTGAATGTATATATATAGACACATACGTAATGTAGAGAAAAACTGGGGTATAGAAAGTTACAGTTTTGTAAATATAATGGTCTGGCATCTAGAGGCATTACAAATATATCCATACTAGGAAGCAAGACTGTGCCTGAGTCTTCTCTTTTTCAGGTGGATTCTATGGTGGAGTATTTTTAGTTGTTGTGAAGTCAGTTTGGCTTTTTTTGTTGGCATTTAGTCTGGGAAAATATTAAAGATAATTGGATTAATCATGCTTTTATGTTGTTTTTCTCTTAGTTAGCTATATATAAGTCTGTGTAAAAGTTATTATTCAACTGTTTCATACCATAAAAGGAGTATGGGTAGAGGTACAATAGGAATTGGCAGGCTGATGCTGAAAGAGGAAGGTTAATCTGTACTTGCCATTTACTCTGGTGTATTTTGCTCAAACATACCATTTCAAGCAAAACTACTTACCGATTTTGTGACATTTTCGACTAATATAATTTTTTTTCTCTTCCCTAGTGAATTCTTCATGCCAGGAATGGTTGATACACACATTCACGCTCCTCAGTATTCATTTGCTGGTACAAGAGTAGATCTACCTCTTTTGCAGTGGTTGACTACCTACACATTTCCAGCAGAAGCCAAATACAAAGACAGTGATTTTGCAGAAGAAGTGTACACCAGAGTTGTTGTAAGTACTGCAAATGCCATTTACCTACTAGATGACATTCATATTTGTGAAATATATGTATGTTTTCAGTAGGTCAGCAGAAATAGTAGAGCGTGTTTTAACATCATGAAAACCAGATAAAACCAACAGTAGAGCCGCTGTTCTAATTGTCAGCCCAGATTGTCCCTTGCTAGTTCCAGTCTTGTTCTGTTGTTGCTGATAAGACAGTTCATTTAATCACATCGTTAACAACGAGCTTATCTTTTCTGATATCTGAGTACAATTACCAACTTTTAAGAGTACTGTCAGAGCTAGTGTAGCGAGCAGGTGCTGACAACCTCAATGCTGAAATAACCATGCATGGTAAAAAAAAAAAACAAATTCGGAGGATATTTCCTTTTCTGCACAAAAAGCCTCTGTTATGAAATTGTCTTCTGCAAAGACTGCATGAAAGAGAAGATGCTTCTCACAGAGGACAAATCTGGGGTGTTTTGAAGTAATTAAGGAAGACGTTTCTACAGCTGAGGTCCTTGTAGCAGGGATATCTTTCACTGCAGGGACTTTAGGTGAAGTCTGTCAATGGTATTGCAGCACAAAGAGGGAGATTGTGTTTGAGTTAGACAAGTTCTGAGTAATATAAAGGTTTTAGAGGTCAAATTCCACTTGATGAACAGTAAGCAGAGAGGTCACATTGCAAAGTACTGATTCTGTGCTGTAACTGAAATGCATCCTTTAGTATATGGACTGAAATATCTTCAACAGATTAAATGATTCGGCAAACGTAAGTTGCCTTGTGTTTGTCTAATACTGCGACAATGTGTGTTGTCAAAACAATAATGTAGTGAATCTGAAATAAATAGTTATACCGTCCTTGCCACACAAATTAAAAAAAAAATACTTTCTGCCGTAATAAAAACACGTAGGAGCAGCTTGGTCATAAACTCTAGTGACAAGTACACATGCCTTCAGCTGCGTAAAACATAGAGGCGATCTCACCTTCCAGCTGTGTGCCTAAACTAACTGTTACTGTCTCCATCAGTTCAGACTGAGTGACATCAGCACAGTGAAAGTGCTCACTGTGCAAGGTATTTAATAACATCACCTGGGAAAGCACTGCCAGTGAGAGATAGAAGTTTGTTGTTGGAGCTTCAACACAGTGGTTAGGCTCTCTCCATGTGTATCAAATAGGACAAGGTCGGGAAAATGTCTTCATCCCCAAATGCAGCAGAATACCAGTTGCTCTCCAGTGATTGATGGAACTGGTAATAACCTTGAACTGTTAGAAACAGGACTAAACCTTCAGGGAGCAGATATTATTTTATATGTATCTTTGTCCTTTTTGAGCTGTAATGAAAACATAGCAGATTTTTTCAAATAAAAATTCTGTTTCCAATAAGCACTTTTGGTACTTGGTAAAAGAAACAAATTAGGTGAAATTTGCCAGATTTTAGCTGGAACCTGCCTCAAATTTTAGGAAAGCTAATTCTTTGTGCTGATGTTCTGGAAACAGATTTCTTTTAGATTTCATTTAACAATTACGTTAGGAATCCAGAAGCAGAGAATTCTGGGTTTTAAAAGCGGAGAAAGACAAAGTTAGTTTGTCTCAGTAATGACATTGTTATTTTTGAGACTCATTTTAGGAACCCTTAAAGACTTATTTTTAATTGTTGACTTTAATCTGAATATTGTACAGAAAAGACAGAGCTTGGCTTCATGTTTGTCAAATAATTAGCTCTAGCCATTCTCAAAAGTTGTGTTGCATGTCCCATCTTCTATCTCGTTAAAAAAAAAAAATCTGTAATTACATTGTAGCCAGAATCCAAAAATGTAATTTAAACCTGTATATTGGATGGGTAGTCAATATAGTATGCATTAGTACCAAGATCAAGTGAAGCTATAAATTTCATCATGACTTAATGTAACTTTAAATCACTCTTCCTTTACCATTATGTCCTCCAAAAGTCATATGAACAGGTATCAACCACCGTCTCCTTTCAAATGGTATAATTAAATAAATAATTAAATTACACTCTGAGCAGTTGTTCTCAGTTTACTTTTACCTTGAATTTTGTTACTTTGTATTCAGGGATAACAAAGGGGTTTTGTACATGAAATCCTGGCTATTTTTAGAAGGCACGTGAGGTGGCCAAATGAAAACCACTACTTTTTCCCAAAAGCCTTGCTTTCCCAATATTGGGTACACAGTGCTTCACTGTGAAAATTGAAGTCTTTCAAAACTAGGAAATAACATGAATGACTGGTTGTATTTCTAAATAGAAGTCAGAGTTCATTTCCAGTTGGAGTGAAGGAAATATAGACTGGTTTCCATGGGTTTAGCCATTGTTAAAATCCTGTATGGATCTGGAAGAGGAATTTTTGTATTTAGTACAACTCGGGCTTAAAAAAGCTGTTACGAAATTAAAAGACTGTATTTTACCTCCCCACTTCATTGCACAATTTCACAATAACTAAACATTCTTGCAATTTGAAATCAGACTGCCTGTTCTGCAGTTTGGCAGGTTGACTATTTTTTTTTCCAGACAGTAGAAACTGATTTCTTTTTATAGAGACGGACACTAAAGAACGGCACGACTACAGCTTGCTACTTTGCAACAATTTACACAGACACTTCTCTTCTTCTTGCTGAAATTACAGGTAAGACTAACAGTGAACTTTGAAGGATGTTGCGCAGACCGTGTTAGTGAAGGAAACAAAGCTCAGGAGTTTTAGACTAGCTAGGGATCTGTCTTTCCACTAAGTTGTTTTTTATTCTTTGTGTCTGTCATACTGTGTCCCCAAAATCCACCCTGGTAACCCTTGTTCACCTAACCACCTGTCTCCTACTGTTGTTCCTGCTACTCTCTTCATTCTCAAATCAGCTGCTGGCTGAGCTTGAGTTAGGTCTGCTGGAGCTGCTCTTCAGCTGAAGTTCTCCGCTCTTTCTAACCTTTTGCTTTTTGTGGATTAAAGGGCTGAATGACAAGAGGTGCAGCCAGTGCATCAATTTCCTGATACTCTGAAGTTTCACTTGAAAATCGACATCAAAAATCTCCACACACCGTCTGAAATGGGAACAGAAGGATTTGCATCTACATCTTATCCCTCCCTTCTGTTTGCTTTTGCAAATGCCTGCTGTTTGAAACTGTTGGGATTCTTGCAGGATTTCTCAAGGCTCAGCCAGCTCCTAAAGCAGAGCAATTTAATGAGAATCTCAGTTTCAGTCAAAAATTCCCTAGCCTTTCTGATTTTGTAGGAAAGCCTAAAACTTTGAAACTGTTGTATTCAACAACTCAGTAAAAGTGGACAAAAGAGATCTAATATAGAAACACATTTAAAAGCTTAGAATTTAAAATTGTATGCATTCCTTTTAAGTCTTACACATGAAGTCTGAGTCCTAGCATGGATAAATCTTAAGAAAGACGCTAGAAGTAGCTCTGGTAATTTTCTCCATCCAACCAAGAGTGGGAGACGTGTTAGGAACCTCATTCCTTTCTCTTAAGGAGAGATGGTTTACTGAGGTCTTTGTGCCTTTTCTCAGCTCAAGGTATTCATCTGCTACAGCTACTGTATTTTGATGCTTGCATTTCTTATCCTCTACTTCGCAGTGGTCTTCTTCATATACTACCAATATGAGTTCTGGTTGTGGTTAAACTACAGCAATCTAGCCCTCAGTTATAACGTTTATAAAGTTGGGTACTGATGTGGAAGAGGAGAACTCCTTTTTAAATATTTGGGTTTTTTTTTTCTCTTTCCTTCTTAGCCTTTAAAGTCACATGGATGGTCCCAACTTAAAGGTTAGAAAAGAGCATAAATTCTGTTCAACTTAAATGAAGCTGTCTGGGGTAGAATTTGCTATTTTCATTTCAGTACAGGCTTTGATAGCAGAGTTTGAGAACCAGAGATGTGATTCTGAGTTTTATACTCTTATGCATCTCAACAGATAAATTTGGTCAGCGAGCATTTGTTGGAAAAGTCTGCATGGATATGAATGACAGTGTGCCGCAATACAAGGAGAATACTGCTGACTCTGTCCAAGAGACAGAAAGGTAAGGTCATTAAACTAATGGCACAACCTTTAGAAGTAAGACTTTTTCATATGTCTGCAAAGTGATGTGAAGCTGGCTAAGAACTTACAGGTGTAAATTCATTTGGAACAGTTTTTTTCTTCCAGCAGTACTGTTTCCTACAGTTCTGACAGTTCCTGCATACCCAGTTGCTGGACAGCCCAAGCCTATCTCTTCCAAAGAAAGGGAGAAGCAGAGAATATGTGTGTGTGTGTATGTTATCTGTTTTCTGCCTCCTCTCTTCCCTTCACAGCTCTGTGTGTGGAGGTGATGTGACCTGACATGGGATGGTGGGGTGGCAATCAGTTCCTTCGCCCCCACTAACTTCTGAGCTATTTCCTTCCCCCATTTAGGCTAAAACTTTATTCAAGTTGTAGGAGTCAGCTTTTATATACCCCATTTTAATTATGCTGTGGTTCTCCTCTCCTCCAGCATAGCACTCTAGCTTGCAGCTGGGAGAATGAAGGAGAATCAAATTCAGGCAATGTACATGGCGGAGGGGACCCAAGACTGGAGCGTGGCAGCCTGCTGTCTTAGGTTTTTCTTGTCTTTCGCATCCACACTCAGAAGATGCTTAAGCAGACATACAGCTTTTTGCATGGGATTATTCGTTTACTTATATAAATGTTTCAAATATCACGCTGAAAGAGAAAATACCTAACAGTAATGTAAACATCTTACGGCACTTGTGTGAATTCGCTACATTAATTCTGCAAATCATGCTACAAGAATGCCAGTAAAAATTAGAAATAGTAATGGATTTCTAATTGTGTTTGTGTTTAAAGACGTTTTTAAAACACGTAGTATTAGTCATTTGCACTCTACTAACATTTGTTTTCCTTCATGTAAATCCCAAATTTTCATAGTACAGCATAAGTCCTGCTCAATGGGCCTGAAAGCTGTGGAACTTCCATTTCTGATATTTTTTAAAGCTTCATAATGATCTAAATAGCTTTCTTTTAAACACCTACCTTGTGCATCCAACTTTCTTCTCATGTGATTGTCTTAGTAACAGATGTTTCTCAGCTTTGGATAAGAATGTGCTGTAAGTACTCCAGAGCTGTCTAGAAGAGAGAGTTGGAATGGATCAGGAGTACTTACCTCATCAGCCCTGAATCACAGCAATATGATTGCAGAAGGATGAAAAAGCTTTTCCTTTAATAAGAACCTGAGAAATGTGATCTGTCACACTGTCAGAAAATGTCTTACACCAATTTCAGTTCTTTACAGTTAACCTCTGGAAATATTTATTTGTATGCATGGAAATAATATACCATTCCAAGTGCTTCATATATTAAATCTACATTCAAGACCAGAGTTCGAATCCACCCTTCTGCTGCAAAGAGAGTTGAATAAAAAGTGAGGAAACTGAAGCCTAGAATACGTTTTATGCTACTAATAGTTGTAGTCATATGGAAAGAGGAGGACCCATGTTCAAATCTGTTCTGCTACAAAAGACAGTTGTTTGAACCTGAGCTTCTTTCCTCATAGAGAAGTACATAAGCCAGTGAAATACAGGATATTTTAAGAAAGATATTTCAGTTTTGAAACAGTGCTGACACTGTTCAAAGAGTATTACAAAGAATGAAAACAGCCATCTGGAAGTTTTGGATTATCACCTGAGAGTTACACTTGTGTTACAGTTTCTGCTCCAATGAATATTTTATTATTATATCAAGTGAATCAGTAAGAGGATGGACAGACAGATGATACCTAATTCACATTGCATTTTGGCTCTGAAAGTTAGACAACGGTGGGCTCAAACTCCCCTGGTCATTGCAGAAGTTTATCTCAGGACTCTCACTTCCAGCGGGTGATCTATCACCAGCTTCAGAGTTGTGAATCTTGCCTCCAGCACTATTTTATTTTCCATCCAAAGATATTTGATTAATCTGATTCGACGTTTATTGTGACCAAAATTACGTTTTTTTCTGAATATAAACTGCGACATAAAAATTCACAGAGATCCTGTCCAGAACCCATCTCAAATTTTCTTTTGGAAATTATTTGCATACACTGTGCACGTGATTTTTCAAAGAGTTTCTTCCCTGCAAAGTCAGAATAAGTTTTATTTGCTCATCTGCATTATCCATATTGCCTGCTTGGGGTTTTTTTTGTAGAGGTCCATGAGGTAACCTCTTTTATTTAATAAAGTAAATAAATCTATACTATATTTTCTATAAGGTAGATAATCTATGCATGAATATTAATGTAAGCATTTCTGGAAAATCAAGGGTTCTTTAAGTAAATGAGGACACACAACCACTGTAAGTGAGGTGTGAAATATTGCAGCATCTTTTTAAAATATAATTTTAAATAATAGAATATATTTAATGGTGTAAGTGAAATTCATGGTCAGCCAAATTTAAGTGTGGGTTTTTTTCTGGAATGTTGCAGCTGTAGCTTATAATTATGTTTTCGATGAATTTAATGTAACATGTATTTGGTTTTCAGTGAGGACAGAAAGTAATTACCACGTGTCTAATGTTAATTATTGCAAATGAAAGAAATTCTGCATATTCAGGGCCAAATCCACAACTAGCATCATTTGGTGTAACTATCCTTACTTCATTGTGTGGCTTCTTTTTATTTAATCCGAGAATCTGGCCCAACTTTCTGTAAAAAAAAAAAAATTTCTATGTCTGAAATGCTGAATAGGATATCTAAGTAAATATTTTCTATATTGTTCATAATTTATAACACAGCTGACAGATTTATAACAGATCTTTTCCCACCATTTCTCAGGTTTGTTAAAGAACTACTGGAAAAGAAGGTAAGTAGAGTTCTCCTTCGTATTAATTTCTGTATTCAGAAGATGCTGTGTGAGTATATGAAATAGTTAATCCTGCTGACAAGTTCTGCTGGCTTAGTGACAAATCAATAAATTCACATCTTTCTGTTTAGTAGACAGATATCATCAGTCTGAAAAATAGTTCTGCTAGCCATGTGGTTGAGAAATGGACTCATAGCACTGTAAACTCAGTTTCATGTGGTCAGAGCACAGCAAAGTAATGTTCTGTGTGCGTTCTCTATTGACTTTAAAATATTCGGCTTCCTAGAAAGGACAATTTCCTGTTAAAGAAAGGTGGAAGTTAGTTGATCACTCTGTGATGTATGAATAGACTAGTAAAAGAAGTTCTTGCCAGCACAAATGAGTGTTTTTACACTACAGTTACTAATCCATTGCCAAGAGAGTATTTTGGGTCAGCACATGTCTTCCAGTGCGTTTCTAAAGAAATTCAGGTTTGCACTCCTGAGGTAAAGACAGAGGTTTACTCCATTATTACAAGCAGGGATACCTTTTCCTATCAGCCTTTTGTTTTCAGTGGCTTAATTCATTGACCTTTATATCTCAAAATATTCAAGAACGGATGCCTAGAGTTTAATGCCTAATTCATATATATTAGTAGAGTAAATTAGCTATTCTGCAGAAATCCTGAGCAACTTGTACTTGGGAGATGGTGTAAGAAACTGCAAACTGAGTTACCATATACTGTCTTCTAGTGGTGCCACATGCACAACTACTGCCTGTGACTGGAGGCAGAGTTGTAATGCCGTTGTCTATTTTTTGTGAAAATTGTAGTCCAGAAGTGCAAGATGTAAGGTAAACATCTGTAGATCTAGCCCTGGTGTCTTCTTCACTGTTTCCTACTGTGTAGTGTATCTGGTGCTACTGCTCATCTTCCTATCTAGGGAATATGGGGACGGTTTGTTGCTATTATGAGTGGAGAAGATCGAACAAGAAAAAGGCTCTGGGTTTACAGCACACTGTAGTTCTGCATCATTAAATCTTTGACATTCATAGAAGCAGGACTCAGAAAAATGTCTGGTCATTCATCTGACTCATTTCTTGTAATGCATACTGGACTGTCAGCAAATATGGAAAGGCACCCAGTGTTTCTCCTGAAGTCTGGTAAAATCTTAGGGGCTCAATAAAAGAGTTCTAATGAAAATAATTTCTTTCCTAAGGTTCATTATAACTGTTTTCAGAAAAAACTGTGATTCTCTATTTTTGTGGTGAAATTTCTAATAAAAATATGGAAATGACTATACAGCTTAATTTGAGTTGGCAATGATGCAGTAAACAATAAGTGATCTAGACAAAATGTAATTGCTGTCTAAATGCTTGTCTTAATTATGGTTACTGATGTATAGGTGTAGAATCCCAAGCATATCTTTTTAATATTTTCAGTATCCAAGAGTACAGCCTATAATAACCCCTCGTTTTGGCCCTTCCTGCACGGAGGGTTTGCTGTGTGCGCTTGGTGATTTAGCACAGGCTCATGATCTCCATGTTCAGGTAAGCTCTGAGAGCTCTGTATACAATTTAAATTGTTTGGATGGATAGCATACAGACCAGGGAGTTTGCGTAATTTCAGCAAAACACTTAAAACACATTCTTACCTTGGAGCCTGTCTTTTAAATTCCTCTGACATTGTTAATGCTGCTCTGCAAGAACACTGTGACCTGCGCAGGAAATGAGAAGGCTCGTAGCTGGAAGGATGCACAATTCATCAAGTCCCAGTGCATGGTCATTGAGAGACCAGCACACAGTGCTGTGCGTTAGAGCTAAAGGTTGCTCTCCCTAGTCCAAGGTTGTTTTGTGTGTCTCTCTGCCTTCTGCTGTTTTTGTACAGAGCAGATTTCAGTAGACAGAAGAATTACTCATCTTTGTATCTTATTTAACATTGTTAACATAGCTACAGGATTTCCAGCATGATGAAGTTTGTGTTTAAAAAATAGTTGTTTTAAAGCTTATGGTTCTGTTGAAACTTAGAGACATTTCTTTCTCGGTTACACAGTTCTAAACATATACTGTTTCAAAGCCATCCTACGTTAGGATTTTTTGTCATTACGAAGTGGGCGTTTTGAAAATATATGCTTCAGTGGGAGTACAGGAGGATCAGATTTTTATCTGAGATGAGGAATTAATTAGCTGGTCTGAAGATACATGGGATCGCTACCTATATGTTGCACTGATCCCAGGGTTCACTCTGTGGTAGGCTGATTCTCTCTTTTACCTCACAATCATATGTATTATTTTATTTATTATTTTAACATATGCCAAATACTAAGTGGGCTGTTAAGTCACCGAACTACTGGGACAGACTATCCAGGCATACCAGCTCATACCACTTTTAAAGGAACAAGTAGAGCTACTCTTTTGGGTCCCAGGGACCTCTCCGATGAGAAAAGAAACCCAAGGACTAGACCTAACTGTAGGCTTTACAAATACTGGTTTCTTTCTTTATATAGATAGAACCTCTGTGGTAGGTTGCTCAGAAGGTTGTAATGTCAGGTTTAATGCTATTTAAAGCATTCATTGCTATATATTTTCTTTTTGCAGAGTCACATAAGTGAGAACAAAGAAGAGCTCAAAGTTGTGGAGAAAATGTTTCCTGCCTACCAGAATTACACTGAATTGTATGATAAAAACAAGCTGCTTACCAGCAAGGTAGCTTCATAAAAACTGCTACAGCATAGCTTAGATTTGTCTGTGTAGAGAATATGATATTAACTGTAGTTACTTGAAAAGTTGGTATTGTTTTGTCAAGGTCAGTGACATCTGGGAGAAAGTAAATTGGTTTTATGTTCTGTTGCACAGGTGTTGGTCATGGTATTGGAACTTTAGACAAGCCCACACTTTTCCTGAGCATTTTAGGGGAGATGAATAGTAAAGCTACTTTGTGCTCTCTGATCCGTTTTCTAAGGGTTCTAAAGAGAATTGGGCAGTGAGATCAGAAGGAGACTAGGTAAAGCTGGTATTGTAGAAGCTGGCAATTCTTGGGCCATAACAGTTATCCTTATGTTACAATGTTCCTGCATACTGGCATTGCCTGGTTTGTTCTACAGTGTTGTGGCAGGGCTTAAACGTTTTGGAAGTTTCCTACAGAAAAGCAGCTTGTCCTGTTGTGTTCTGTGTGTAAACCTCACGTACAGTCAGGTACGCTTTGCTGTTCCAACTAACCAAAAGGACTCTTATCTCATTATCTGATTTTACAAAGTATTGAGAGGCACAGTGGCCTGATGAGCTGAATATTCATTAAAGCTTTGTGCTGGTGAGATAAATACAAGCCCACGCTAAGTACGGGTCAGAGTGCCAGGGCACACCTTACTAGGTAGTGGAGAGCCCATGCCAGAGTGAATATGAACAGCCTAACTACAGTCAAAGTAGTTAGTCAAATTTTATATAAAATTTTAGGAGAGAATTTTCAAGAGGCACAGAAGGGCATCTGGGAACTCCTTGCGAATTAGCTATTGAACTCCCATTTCTGTCTTTGAAATTGTACCTGAGTAAATTATTTATTTATGGTCCTTTTCACCTGAGAAATCAATATGGACTACTTAACTATGTACACAGTATTAACTTTGTTCTCTCAAAAAGTCCTGTGCACACTGATTTGTTGTGTCAGCGTACTGAAGAGAGTATTAGTGCTGCAGAAACATAGGTCTTAATTCTGCAGACTTTTATGTGCACAGCACTGAAAATGGTCACTGAAAATCAGGGTTACTGTTGCTTTCTGGCAACAGGCTCCAGGTTGTTTGGGGAAGCATCCTATTAAACACAAACAAAACAAAACTGCGGACATTCCCCCCTTCCCAACCACAAAAACTAATGTTCTCACAGTATGCTTTTCAGAGCTGTGGCTGAAATATTTTC